ATATGAATATGAGGAAGAGATCGTCCGTTTTCGATATACAAACTTCAACGGCTGCAGGAGAACGCTTTCTATTAGACAAATAACCTTGGTCGACATAGAGACGTGACAGAACTATCTCTTTACGCCTCTTCTCATTAAGGAATAACGACTTGGATGCGAACATTTCACAGTGAGACTATCTAAGCTCTTTATGTTTAGGTGGGAATAGTTCGGTCAAAATCAGACCGATTTCACTAAAAAGAGCTTGTCAGAAAGGCTATCCCGTGAAATACCTCCGATTCCAAATCTGATTTTTGCTTTGAGTTGGGACAACCAGCTTAAGTAGTTCCGGTGATAGGGGGTAAAAGGGGCATAGACCCACGTTATAGCTCTCGTAACTCGGTCATGGATTTCTTTTTAGTTACCCCGACCGGAAGTTCAAATGAGTTAGAAACCTTTACTTAAAGCCTTACTTTTCCCCCTTTCTCTTTCTTGTCTAGCGCAGAAAAAAAAATGGTTTCGCTGATGGCGCAATCAGACCACAAGTTTCTTAGGTTAGTTGTTCCCCCACAAGCTGTTGGCTACCTTATTTACCCAGCAAGAAAGAATCGAATTCAAAATCCAGGCTTCAAGCTAGTCTTGTAAATAATGACTTAGAATAAAGCAAAGCTACTGGAACATCCAGAGACTATTCCTCAAGCGGGAAGTGAAAGGCCGGAAAGCAAGAAGGCATTGGATAGATGTCCGGACATTGAGAAAGATATGAGGCTAGCTAACACATGAAAATCTCTCTCAACGGCCCCTCCGTAAGTAACTCAGTGAGAAGTAGCTCAGCAACTACTTTCTACGCCTATCAAAGAAAAGGGATAGACCAATGTGGGTTCCAAACCTCACCTTGACTTTGATTAAAGCGACTTTTGCCAAGAAAAAGCCGATGAAATAGTACCGCGAAGACAGCCCACCACTGAAACGTGCTTTGTTCTCGCTCGGCTCGCGCCCACCTGTCTTCTTCCCACTATAGTGAAAGATCTTTCACTTCACCATAGCAGGAACCTCACTAGCCTTCTCGGCCAGTTAGTCTAACCACAAGGATCATTTCCTGCTTATCCACCCACTGTAAGCGATTACTAACGAACTTGGAATACGAATGAGATCAAAAAGGCCATCATTGGGGCAAACGATGCAATAGCTTCGGTTAGAGCAAAGCCCAAAATGGCATAACCAAATAATTGTTTTGCCAATGATGGATTTCACGCCACAGAATGAATCGAGGAACTAAGGACGTTTCCAATACCGATAGTAGCTCCCGCTGAAGCAATGGGTGCAGGAGCAAGTTAAGAGTTAGAATTCCCCGACTCCGTTCCTATTTATTAGCCTTCTTTCTACTTCAACATCAACTTCGTTAGCTAACTAATTGATCCTCACCCATCTTTGGCTGCCTGTTAGGAGGATTATGTTGGACTTATGTGATCTCGTTACAACGTTCTTTTTTTTACAGAGATTTCTGGTGAAAACTTCAATCTTGAAACATGGGAGCTTCTTAAGATGTGCATGAACAACTGCAGGCACGACTTGTCATCGAGACTCTTACCCCAAATTAAGGGATTCGACGACTTGTGTACTAAAGCTCACGATGTGGATTCGAACCACTGCTTCTCCTTATTGTCGTGAGCGGGTCTGTCGTCCTCCTCATTATAGTCCTCCTAGAATCCAGAGCATTTCGTCGAAATACATCCTTTGTTTTCACCTTAGTAGTCCTATGCATAGTCAGTACTATAGCCCCAATCATGGCTACTAATAAAATAAGAATAGAAACCAAAAACCAGACGAAATAGTAGGAATAAAGTAAATTGCCCAATGTTTCCAAATTAGTCCAACTTCGTACCTTTCCGGCATAAACCGTATATCTCAGAGAGGTCGTATTTCTTTGGGTTGGTAGTAATGGAATGCCTTTATTATCTAAAGTAAAGAACATCTCCCACCAAAAGATAAGTCCAATAATACCACTTACTGGTAAATAGCGCAATACTTCTTCGTGAATCTCCGCTATTTGAATATGGAACATCATAACAATGAATAGGAATGAACCGGCTATAGCTCCTATATAAACTACTGGGAAGATCATAGCGAAGAAGTCGAGACCTAACAAAAGAAGTAAACCTGAAGTGTTGCGAAAGACTGGGATGAGAAACAAACGGAATGTACCGGATTTTAGCACGTACAACCATCAAACCAGAGACCAAAGCAGGGCGCGACAAAATGGAAAGTATCATAGTACGTCGTCCTTCCCTGAAATGGAACTTTCATGCTGGAGCAAGAAATAGCATGAAAGTCGATCTATTACGACCAGCGCGGTTGTTCCTATTTCATTTTCTTCTTCCAAGCCCTTCTTAGAAAGAACTCACTGAGTTACTTACGGAATCTCAAATCTCTCTCGACGCTGAGAATTCTTTATGTGTCCAGGTCGATTAGAGGTTCGGCTTCCTTCTCCCCCACCTTTTAGCCTTCTGGACCCCTGGAAAAAAAACCTGAAATCAAAAAGAAAGAAGAGAAATTGGGCCATCTTTCCCGAGAGAGGCCGCCTTCTCTCAGGCCAGCAGTCTTCTACTTCTAGTCGACTGCTCTATGACAGGCTTCCCTCTTTCCTTGGCTCTGATCGCTCATCTACGCTCCTCCCCAGCAAGTAATAATTGAAAAATGATGTTTCATTTCCTTACAGTCAAGTGGCTTTCCGCTCCTGCATTAAGATTGAAAACGAAAAATTGTCATAAAAAAAAGGCAATCAATCAGAAAAAGAAAAAATATGGAAATAGTGAATCAAGATCTAGATGGATCCCTATCTTTATCTCTATCCACGGAGATACCTATCTATATGGAGAGAGATCTATCTATGAATCAGCCTAGACTATCCTCTATCCGGATAGATATGTCCCTATGAGCGACTACGCCGATCTTTATATGTTTTGGCCACGTCCCTTTCCGCTCCGAAGAAGAAGGTTTGGATCTTTTAATATTATGTCGTGAGGTATGTGACCTATGTTAGGTCCATAAGATACCACAGCCTTTGGTGTTCTATGATTCACCTCCCAATAATGAGTAGGTAGTTCGATCCTTTTATTTGATCTTTTTAGTAAACTGATGGGGGGTGCGGAGCAATAGGTCGAATTACTATATAAAGAAGAGTTGTAAACTATAGGACTTCTTGTTCGAGTAGGAATATTTCGGTTTTTCTCGTTCCTTCTCTTCGATAAGAATAGGGATTTTGAAATGATACAAATTCCTCTTCATTCTGTTTGTGCTCAGCGAAAGAACTGCCTAAGCATACTTTTTCGGATCCAAACTTCTTTGTTCTTTCTAAGTATTCTTCTTTCATAGAAGAACACAACTGTTGCAAAAACTAACTTCTTTGTTCTTTCTAAGTCTTCTTCTTGCATAGAAGAACGCAACTGTTGCAAAAACCGGGATTTTAGTAGTAGGCGGCATCCCCTCTTAGTTTTGAGTAGGCGGAACCATTCTGTTTTGGTTCTTCTCCACGGGTGATCCAGGAATTTTCCTATTATTTTCTCAACTGAGATTTCGATATAGAAGGATCTCTTTATTTCTTCACCGCGGGTTCTCGCATCATTTTCTTGAAAAGATATTATATCACCGTGGGAGAGTTTAAAATGAGTAATGTTAACCATTCCATTATTCACACAAACCCTTCGATGACTTATCGGCTGCCTTGCTTGAGGAATAGTTTCACAAAAATGGAGACGAACCGGGATAACGTCCGATCTTGTTTCTGGATTGAGTAGAAAGGGGATATATGAAGTTCGTTCTCTTCCTCTGTGCATCTCTGTGATGGGTAAATCTCCATAAAAAAGGGACAACTTTCGTGTAGTTTGTGATTGGATGTAACTGTTAAGATTTTCTCTAGAATAAATCTTTCTCTTAATAGATCTCTTCTTGTTCCTCAATCTTCCGAGAATACGGCGTTGTATTATTGTAAGTTCTCTGTTCCAAACATTTCCTGAAAGTAGACGACAAGTTTTAAATCTTAATGCAGGCAAGGCATATCTCGTTGAATCAGTCTTTTTCGCCACATCGCATATAAGGGGAATCGAACCCCCTCTACTGCTGGCGGGCAGATGTATAATGTACTACTTCGATCCAGCAACTTCTTAGGAGTAGGTTTTGGCTTGCCCCTCTCCTTACAATCAAGTGGTTGAACGCCCCTTTCTTCTTATTAGTCAGATAGGTTTGGAACCCTTTCCCCTTTTAATATAATAATAAGGTAAGCTTCCAAAGCTCTTTTCTTCAGCTGGTGCGTAGGAGCGCACTTTAGTTTTCCCCCTAACCTTAACAAGGGGCTTTCATGAATAGGGATTTCCCGCCAGCAGTCTTCTCTTCCTATCACTTCACTTCGTTCTAGAAATCTGATCTCACCGGGTCGGGCGAAGGGGAAGGAAGGGATGGGTGGTCCAGGAACAACAACGAGAGAGGGCTCGTAGCCCCCCCTCTCACTCTTCCCCACGCCTATTTGTTCACCCGAGATGCAGAACTCTTTTTCTTTTTTAATGAATAGATAGAGCCATGATACATTCCGAAATATTGTAAAGGTAAATAGACTCTTTTCGCCCCTTTTCGATGTCTGCCTGAGGACCTATGTTAATGTTTTGGAAAGGGGATGTTCGCCTTTTGTAACAAATAGACCCACGATACGGACTAATATATGTTCTTACCCGCAAGCATAAGTAAGATCTATTCATAGTTGGTCAGTCCCCCACGGCAGGGCTTCTCGCTTTTCATGAATGTGTCTCCCCCTCTGCTTTATGTGAGTTTTTACCCGCCTTTTTACTCTACTTGCTTCTGACTCCCTATGAGCCCTTACTTTTTCGGAGGGTCGGCGGGGCATGGGAGCCTCAGCTCATGCATCGGTTTACCGAAATAACCTCTGCTCTCCCACTTTCTTCTATTCAAAAGGCGAGCATCCCTTAAACAAAAAGGCCCTAAAAGGGTTCTTCTTTATATATTACATAAGCCCTAAAGTAGGTAGCCTCGAAAGCCGAACTCAGCAGAGTGGGTTTTGTCTTGCCCACCCCGAAAGCCGAACTCAGCAGAGTGGGTTTTGGCTTGCCCCTTTCTATCTTATTAGTCAAACCTAAACGTCCTTATTTCAAAAAACAGCGCTAACACCCTATCTATAGTAAGGGGCCTTTTCAATTGAATCTCCCACTTGATTTCGGACAGTCAAATAGAAAGACTCTTTGTTAGCTCTTCGTGCCTCCTTGACTTCTCAAACTGAACTAAGACTGTCCAACTAGAGTATAGCCGGAAGGAGCTCTTTTTGTATTGAAAGTGTTTCCAAATAGCAATCCATCGCGTCGGTAATAAGACTTAGATAAAGATACGTACTTGGAAATAAGCAGATCATAGATAAAAAATTTCATGCCTCGACTCTCCCTCGGTTCGTTCAGGAATCATAGTAGTCTTTTCATGGAGATTATTGGGAACGGAAATGTGCCTGGGGTTAAGAACAACGAGAAAATTGCCTTTTGTCTGTTGCCATGGAATGTATAGGTAGGGATTGTTTAATGCTTGGAAAGCCCGTTTCACGCTCTCTATCCCCTTTTTTTGGGGTCCCATGAGCCGCTTTTTAGTATTCGTGTTCACCTTCGCTCCGCACCATCCCTTCCACACGGAAGGATCATGGGGTTCTCCCAACATACATATCCGGGGGTTGAATAGACCATCTCTGATTGTATTTTAGTCGGTCGGGGGAAGCGGTAGCTTCGTGCTCCGCTTCTCTCGTGCTTGCTTGCGTGAAGGCTTAGAGCCCTTTTCGCTAGGTCCAAAAGCTTCCCAAAAGATCTGATCCAACAGAAATCCCGCATTAAGCGTAGCTGATATGCGGCTACGGCTAACCGATCATATCATTCCATAAAAAAAATCTATATGTATAGAGAGATTCCCTAGATATACAGATAGAATATATGTTCATGGATAGATAGACATTCCATGGATTCTTAGTTTTTGGGCTGAAAAAGCTTGTCGATCCAAATGAATCATTCTTTCGATCTCTCTTCGCTCCCCACCCCGAAACTGACACACGGCACAGCGCCCATTCACTTCGCGCGCAGGAAAGCAACAAAGTTCAGTTCATAAGACCGCAGCGCAGCGGAGTGGAGCAGCCACGACACTTCCTTACTTGATCTCGCTGGTGGCCACCTAAACGGTAGGTAGGCGGCGGATGTGTGACATTTGGAGTTGTCGTTCATGCACCTGTCCCCAATGGAAGAATGAGTGATATGTTCCCCTGCGGATCATGGCCTTACCACTCGGTCCCCTATGGCCAACGGGGAATCGGTATAGCAGCTCAGGTTCATTTGCACTGCGCGTTCCCGCTGGACTGGACACATGTTAGCTGTAAGAAGTATGGTTCCGAAAGTGACTTCGGTTCGCCAGTTCAGGCTTAACTCCTCGCTTTACGTTAGCAGACCTACCGGTCGGGTCGGGGCTCTGCGCTCTTTGTTTCTGTGTGGGACGATACCGGGAAGAGAGGGGAATGCGTCGAGGCGGCGAGCAAGACAACTACATTTTGGCTTTTCCCTCCATGAGATGAGCCCATGTATTGGACTGATGGATAAGAGAACTGAGCTGGCCTAAAAAGCGCTTGGGCGCTCTACGTACGATATAGACTCCATCAGATACATATCGATTTCTTTCTGATGGATCAAGAATAGATAGTTGTCTCATCAATAGATAGAAATAGGAGATTTCCCCTTATTCTTGAGAGATTCCCCTCTCTATCTCTTTCGATCTATCAGAACAGATCAGGCTATCTATCAATCGATTTGAAAATAGCACGCTCATCTCGCTTTTCGTTCATTTTCGCCACGAAAACATAGCCGCCATAATAAGAAGCAGGCAAAGCAGCTAGAAGTACTCGTTTCACGCCCTTGAATTATTATTCACGAATCAATTGGGAAAGACAACAGAATGATTTGATTCTGACTTCGTAAAGCCGGTGCTTCTGTTGCCTGCGCGTAGGGCTATCCCCCACTCCCGTCCTGGGGCGCTAAGGGGCTTTTGTTTTTGGAACAGACAGCAGTGTTTTGTTGATGCCTCGAATCAAGCTTTTATTGCGATATGCTATGCTTTCTCCCCCATTGCTAGTAGGTTGATGGGTCGCGCGCCTGGCACACATGTTTTGGCTTTGTGTGTCCATAACTCAAAATAGGTGACCTAACGGTCGTCGCCCGACTAAACATACCAATAGTCACCAGATTCATATGAGCTACTGAGGAGTTAGCAATGATCTTCTTAAGATCGATCTGGCTTAAAGTGGTTGAGGAAGTATATATTATAGAAATCACGCTTAAAGTATAAATGAAAGGAGTGGAACAAAGTGTCGCTTCGGGAAACATGGGTCTTAAAAACCCGTAGTTTCCCAATTTTAAAGCAATTCCTGCCAAGATGACGGATCCTGCCATAGGTGCCTCTACATGAGCTTCGGGTAACCAAATATGAATTGGTACC